GTTTTCTGTGTCTCTTGTATCACCCATTGAGTTCAATGAGTGCCGGGCACATAATAGGTGCTTAATACACGTGTACCGATGGGCTGAGCCTCCCTCAGTCAGCTGTAGGCTAAAGGATTTCAGCTCCTAATTTTTCCATAGGTCCTCTCACATAATCCTTTGTCACAGCGCCACTTCTGATTTCCCCTAAAGCATCTTCAAAATATCCCTCTGATTAGTGGTTGGAGTGTCTCTGACATTGATACCTAGTTTGTCATTTCTGTTCTGATTGTCAGGTTCGGAGTGTGGGTATGTGGGTGGAGACCACCTCCGTGGGAAAGAACTACCTTTCCCAGCCACCCTGCGATAAAGTGGTTCTTAATGTTTGTGGCACACGGGCCACCTGTCCCAGGGAACTGAGCCCCAAGTAATGGCGACGATGCAATTCAGAGGCTGTGTTATGGCAAGGTGGGGTGGATTAGTGAGCTGGGGAGAGAACAGGTGCCAGGTTTCTAGGAAGGCAGTTCTGTTAAGGGTCCCTGAGAACAGGAGCCCAGAGGATGACTTCCAGGGCGTGTTAGTGTCCAGGAGGTGAGAGGCTGCCTTGGATGGAACACGTGGCTCAGGCCTTTGCCATGGGTTCAGCCTTGGGCCTCCAACAGGTACCTGAGCTGTCTCTCCAGCTCCCCAACCATACATTCACCCTGCTTGTTAGGAACTGTTCACGCATGGGGCAGTGACCATTGGGAATGATTCATGTGGCTGCCTTCTGGGGAAGAACTTGGAACAGCTGGACCACATCACCTGGGGTCACAGTCCAGCCTACAGTACTGTCACTGCAGATGTCCTTCGGTCCCTATCTGCTCACACATCCTTGTTTGTGGAGAAAACCTCTCCTCTCCCCATCCACTTGCCCTTCCTGCCTGCCTATGGGAGGGTAGTGGGGGAGGGGCACAGCTCCCAGGAGCCCCATGCTGACGCCGTCAGGAATATTGGGTTTAATGAGCTGCAAAATGAGGTGGCTGCAGCTGACATGTACGGATGCCCACACCAGCCTCCCCCACCCTCTCCCAGCATTGCCTCCTAGCACCCCATCTCATCCTTCTCCAGATACTCGGCTCTTCTTGTTCCAGGAAACACCCTCTCTGATTTCCAGACCCACTGCTGGCAGTGCCAGTAATACCGAAACCTTGCATCCCCGTCTGTGTTTCACTCGGGCTCCCTGGGTGGTAGGAATGGAGGGTTAGGCTCCACACTACTCTTGCAAGTGTCCTCCCTCCCACCTGCAAATTTCCCTGGAGAGTGTGGTCCTGGAGGCTGGGGTGATGGAAGGAGGATGGGTGCTAGGAAAGCAGGGTGGGCTTGTGGCAGGGGCCTGGTGTACCTGCCAAGGCACCTACTATGATGGTGGTAAATGTTCCATCCCCCACAGAGGTGGAGGAGTCCTTTGAATTTGTCGTGGTGTCCCTCACCGGGCAGACGTGGCACTTCGAGGCCTCGACAGCCGAGGAGCGGGAGCTGTGGGTGCAGAGCGTGCAGGCCCAGATCCTCGCAAGCCTGCAGGGCTGCCGCAGCGCCAAGGACAAGGTTGGCATGGAAGCCCGAATAGGGTGGGACCCAAAGGTGGCCTCGTGATTAACCAGCTACTCCTTGTCTCCCACTGTGGCAGACTCGACTGGGGAACCAGAACACAGCTCTGGCTGTGCAGGCCGTCCGCACTGTTCGTGGTAACAGCTTCTGTATCGACTGCGACGCCCCCAGTGAGTGGCAGGGCCAGGGTTAGCGGGGCTAGGCTTGGGGGTGGCTTAGAGAAAGCTCAACAAGAGGCTTCTAGGGGCCCGGGAGGAGGGTGGGAGGAAGAGGACTCCGGGTGGTCTCACTGGTTGCCCTTGGGCTTCACTGTGCTTCTCCTCCTTACCTAGATCCAGACTGGGCCAGCCTGAACCTGGGCGCCCTGATGTGCATCGAGTGTTCAGGGACCCATCGACATCTTGGGGCTCACTTGTCTCGGGTCCGTTCCCTTGACCTTGATGACTGGCCACCTGAGCTGCTGGCTGTCATGACTGCCATGGGCAATGCCCTGGCCAATAGCGTCTGGGAGGGGGCTCTGGATGGCTATGCAAAGCCAGGGCCTGACGCCTGCAGGTAAGTGGATGGGACCCTGAAACTGGCCAAGAGGGAGGGAACACGAGTGTTCCTGTGTGGGGAAGATTGAAGATGGTGCCGTGTCTGTGGCAGGGCCAGAAGGGTTAAAACCGGCCGTTGCTGTGCTTGGCAGTTGGCCCCTTGGGGTTCCCTTCCTCCGCCCTCCCTGTCACTCAGGCACCTCACAACAAGAGGCCCTTTCTGAGTTGTTATCAGCCGGTCAGGGGGCCAGCAGGAGGTGCTTGTGCAGGGCCCTATCTGCTCCGTGGTGCAAAGGCCCAGCCTGAGCTCTGAGATGGGGAGAATGGGGAGCAGATAGGAGAGTGGAGGGCCCCCAGCACAGCCTCCATCCCCTTTATTCTAGCAGGACCAGATAAGCTGCCACGCGAGCCTGCCTGGAATCTTCCTGCCCTCTGGCCCTCTACATCCCTGCTGTCCCCGGGGGCCTCCCTCAGCCTGCCTGCCTTTCATCTTCCACACCCTCTGCATTGCCCACTGCCCCTCTGTATGTCCTTGATCTCTTAGGCTTCTCTTTTCTCTACCCTGAGACTTCCTCCCACTATTTTCCCTTTTCTCCTTTTGGGTGTTTATGTCATTTCCTAACCACTCTCCCTGGCCCCGTCCTTCCTCATTCATGCCTCGATGGGCCTGTGTTTTCAGAGAGGAGAAGGAGCGCTGGATACGGGCCAAGTACGAACAGAAGCTCTTCCTGGCCCCACTGCCGAGCTCGGATGTGCCACTGGGGCAGCAGCTGCTCCGGGCCGTGGTGGAGGACGACCTGCGGCTGCTGGTGATGCTTCTGGCACACGGGTCCAAGGAGGAGGTGAACGAGACCTATGGGGATGGGGACGGGCGGACGGCTCTGCATCTCTCCAGTGCCATGGCCAATGTTGTCTTTACACAGCTGCTCATCTGGGTGAGTCCTGGGCTCCCTCCATGGTTTTCGAGCCCCACCCTTGCAGGCTCCTCTGACGTGCCCTGACATCCTTTTTATCCCAGACCTTTGAAAGCCATCTCTCCTTTTCTTCCCCAAGAACCTATCTTGCCTGCCATGTCACACTAACTGTGAAAATATGCTTTCTTCTGCAGTATGGAGTGGACGTGAGGAGTCGGGATGCCCGGGGCCTGACTCCACTGGCCTATGCTCGCCGGGCTGGCAGCCAGGAATGTGCAGACATTTTGATCCAGCATGGCTGCCCTGGGGACGGCTGTGGCTTAACACCTACCCCCAACAGAGAGCCTGCCAACGGCACCAACACCTCTGCTGAGTTGCACCGAAGCCCTAGCCTCCTTTAAGGCCCAGGAAGAGGGCAGTGGTCAGAACTCCATACCCTGGGTGCCTCCTCTCTGTAGGCACTGGGGGAGACAAAAATGCAGAGACTGAGATGTAGAGACGTGCATAAAGGAAGGAGGAGAAAAACGGCTAAATGGGGGAGACAGATCAGAGGAGACGTCTGGGGTTTGAGCTGCAGCAGAGGGTGTGGAGGTATTTAGCCTTCAGACCTGCAGTGCCATTGAGAGGGACAGGACCCTTTGGAGTTACCTGTGAGGAGAGGGGAGCAGGACCTCTCCCTCCTCCAGATTGCTACCCCCTAGTGCCAGCCCCCTGCGAACTTCATCTCAAAGTGGAGCCTGGATAAAGCACAGGTTGGGGTGCTGGATGAAATACAAGGGGGTGATCTGTGAGTCCCATGTAAATTTGTACATTCAAATATTTATGTTTGTGTACATATTTGGTGTGAGTGTATGATGAGCCAATAAACCAGACTGTGTGGTCTTGTTTCCCCCTTTGATATCTATACCCTTCTCCAATTGCCCCATTATCTCTACTCTTTGCCCATCTTTTCATGTTTGCTCTCAAGTGTCTTCCCTGAGCCTTCCGTGAACATCTCTTTCCGCCTTCCTTTGCTGCAGGTGTAGTTGAGCTTGTCAACAGCATTGGCAGTGAGTCTGGAAGTTTCCTGCTGCATTCTCTACTCACTTCCCTCCTCTCAAATTTTCCTAGCTAGTAGTCTTTATTTTCATCAACATTCTATCCAGTAACCTCCTGCCATGACTTGTACTGGCCAAAGTTCACCCAAAGAGAGGGTATAAGCATTGTCCCCCTTTCTAAGAGCATGGGAACCAGCCTACACAGGGAAGGAAACGGGTTAATGCACAGGAGGAGAGCTCTGAGAATGCCGCGGGACGAGTGGCTTGGTGCTCACTAGGGCAGCACTTCTCTCTGGACAGATGCCTAGCCTTTGCCTTTAAGGAAAGGGGAGGTGATACATCAGTATTGGCAGAAAATTACCTTGAGTCCCACCATCTTGCCAGGCTGGGACAGAATTCAGAGCCTCTGCTTTTCCCTCTATCCCTTAGTTATGTTAGAAGATTAGGGGAAACCCTCCTGTACCTGTTCTTGAAGGGTAAGAACTTGCTAAATTAGGGTCTGTAACTAACGCTGTTCCTTAATTCGTTCATAGAATTCCAACCACAGGGCCTCATTCCTATCTCTAGCTTCCCCCACAGTACATACCCTTCCAGAACTATCACAGATTCTTTTCTGCCACCTCCACTTCGTAATGGGCCTTCTCAACCAATCTCATAAGAGGATTGGTATCCCAAACTTCATAAATGCTGTGATTGGGAGGAGAGGCCACAATTAATGTGCCCTCACGTCTGGGACACTAAATGGTGGCAGATGCACTAAGCTGCTGTGTCCTCTGCATAAAGATTAATGAACTCACGGGTGATGAGAGTCAACCAGCACCTCCCGACCCTTCACCCGCCTGTCCAGGCACTAACAAACTCAAACTGCTAACCTCTACCTACTTAGAGGGGGCTTGGACACCAAAGCTAAACTAGGGCCAAGTATTAAATTCTCTGTGCTAATACAAATGTGAATGAGTCCTCTATTCTGAAGTCTGCCAACTCTTCCAAAGAAGGAGGCGGAGATGATAAGCTTGCCTGTTTAATGGGTAAAGGACCATGTTAGGAACAGGAGGTCTAACGGTGCACAGTGGGCAGCCCCCAGGCTGGGGAGGAACAGATGTGGCGGTAGTTTACATGAGAAGAGATGGTATGTGTTGAATTTCTAAGGAGGTTAGTGACGGTTCCATGTAGTTTCTCTACATGTCCTTGTATTATAGATAGGCAAGATGGTAGCCACTCCGAGGCAGGAAGATGGAGCTAAATTCTGGTTGAGGATAGAGGAAACATAACTTTCCCAAGCCCTCTCGGTGCAGACAGACAGGCAGATAGATCCACATATACAAAATTTACACAAAATAAATAAGGAGTTGTGATCAGTGTGGCTGGCCATTACCCTGGATCCTTCCCCACCCCTGTCAGTGATTCCAGGAACCTCTTAGGCCTTAGGCATTGTAGAGCCACCACCTCCTCAGGAGTCCACCTCAGTCCCCAAAGCTCCTGGGCAATAACCTAAGGCCTTTAATCCTGAAGCCCCAGTCCCGAAGGTCTCTGGAATAGGCTTCGGGACCAGGTCCCATATCTCAGATTGCCAGGAGAGCATACCTAGTGCTAAGTGCTCTGCCAACTGAGCCCCCTGTTAGGGCAGAATCAGTGGTAGCCTCCTGGTCCACAGAGCCCTAACCCAGTCTCAGCAAGCCCAGAAAACGAATCCTTTGCCTCTGAAGTCCTCACGAGCCCCATTCAGGGCCGGGCCCCCTGTTCCATTTGTTGGTGCTGGCTCCGCACGGCAAACCTGTTAACGTGCACAGGTATGGGCACCACAATCTTGGGGTTTCTTATGGGCTCTCCAGAACGGCTGCTGACATTGCCAGCTTTGATGCGCTTCCACTTGGCTCTCCGATTCTGAAACCAGATCTTGACCTGCACCTCGCTGAGCTTGAGGGCATGGGCGATCTGGGATCGCTCTGTCAAGCTCAGGTATTTCTTGCAATGAAACTCCTTCTCCAATTCCAAAAGCTGCTCACTGGTAAATGCTGTGCGGCGCCTCCGGCTTTTGCCCCCAGGAGCTGTGACTCCTGATGCCACTGGGGCTGCCTCCTCAGCTCCAGTCCCCAGGCTTCCCTTTAGCTTCGGTTTAGGTGCCAGGAGAACCCCCGGGCCCCCTGCAGAACTGTCCAGGAAGCCGTCGTCTTCACTGTCTCCGCCTGAGCCCTCTTCCTCCTGTTCGCTGCCTGCTGGGTCTCTTGCTGGTGCCTCCAGCTTCTCCTCATCTGAGCTGTACACCTTCCCCTCTGGGGAGCAAAAACCAATGGACAGGGAGGGAGAAGGTAGGAAAGAGGTTGGAAGAGGCGCATGAAACCATGACCAGGCATGGCCAGAAAGACAGCAGGAAGAGAGACGGATGTAGAGGGGATGAGATGGGGATGGAAGAAGTTCAGGGAAGACAAAGAAATAGGAAGAAAGGTATTAACCAGCACAGATTTCACTACAGCAAAGTGGGGCAGGCAATAAGTGTCTACGAAAGGAACACCATTCCCAGGACTGTCCCCTCCACATTCCCACACCCTACCTCAGTTCTGCCTACCCACTACCTTCCCGGCTTTCTCTAAACCCAGACCACACTGCCTCAGGCCCCGGAGTGAAGTAGTATGGGACCTGGCAGGGTCCTTTCAGTTGCTGGGGCCGGAATGAACAGTACAGGTGAGTTTACTTTTGCAGGATGGGGCTATCAGCCTTTGTTATTCTAGGAATCCTAACCAGACCCAGCGGAAGAGCTGTGTTGACTTCTGTTTTCCCTCTTCCTTAAATCTAGAATCTCATTTCCAGATGGGAACTTCAGGTTCATGGGATCCCCTATCCTCACCCTATTCCCAAAATTTAGGTCCGAAAAATGTAACACAAGGACCTGGAAATCAGTGTTCCTTACTGTATTCCTCCCAGTTCTTAATTAGACCATCCAGCCCATAATGGGAAACCCTCCCAGCCACATGCCTTACAGTTACCAGACTTTTCTTCCAAAATTACTTAGTCTCCTCGGCCCCTTTCATTCCTTTTCCTTATTTAAAAAATGATGTCATCGCTTTCCCACCTTCCCTCTTTCCCAGATAAGGTTGCTGAGCAGCACAAACAGCTGCTTTCTGCTTAAGTTCAGAATCCTGAGGACCCTGAGCTTGCTGCCAGCTGGGAGCATGGAGGGAATATGGAAAGAAATAAAAATGCAACAAGGGAAAATATAGATGGTGAAAACAAAATTTTGATTCATTTAGTAGATTACTGATTATTTGTAATCACAGCCACATAAACATTTTAACCCATATATAATTCTAAAATTTAATTGAACCATTGGTTCTATCCACTGACATTTTTATTCCTATAATGCAAATAATGCATTGCAAATGTTTTCAATATTTGAATTTTATAAAATCCCGTTTTCTGCCCAAAGGACCAATAAGTAGTGAAACAACAACAAAAATACCGCAAGGAAACCAACGAATAGGAAAGAAGAGAAAAATGAATAATCTGTAAATAGCTCTTACCAATAGAGTTTAGTGCGTAAAAGTGGGGAGCACCTCACAAATTGGGAGCACATGTATCTACACCCACATGTCACATGTACACTCATAAGCACACTCCAAGGTTGCTAATACAACCCAAAGTAAAATAACTTCAGGGAATGAAGTGCCTTATATGGAAAAGAAGTGTGCACGTGTACACATGGCTAGTACACCTCTCAGCACTCAGAGGTTACCTGCTGCTCTCCTCTAACCCCTCCCCACCTGCCTTTTTAAGCCAGCAAGAACTTCTCAGGGCCTCTACCCTGTTTCCCCGAAAATAAGACAGTGTCTTATATTAATTTTTTCTCCCAAAGTTGCACTAGGTCTTATTTTCAGGGGATGTCTTATCTTTCCATGCGCTAGGTCTTATTTTCGGAGGATGTTTTATTTTCGGGGAAATACGGTAGTAGCAGCCCAGTACATTTCAACCCCCTTCCCCATCCCGGAGTCGTCCCTTTCCTCTCTGATGCAATCTATGCCGGTTCCTTTTCCTTAAGAGCCACACTGACATTATCCTTAGAGGCCAAAATTCTCCGCCATATCTACATCACCCACTTCCACCTCCATTAGTGTCTTCATACCTCAAGGTTATTTTAAAAAATGTTTTTATTGATATTTTAGAGAGAGAGGAAGGGAGAGGGAGAGAAGATAGAAACATCAATGATAGCAAGACATGACAGAGACATCAATTGGCTGCCTTCTGCACACTCCCCACTAGGGATCCAGCCCACATCCTGGGCATGTACCTTCACTGGGAATCGAACCAGCAACCTCTTGGGTTCATCGGATGATACTTAATCCACTGAGCCATGCCAGCCAGACTCAAGGGTATTTTTAATCCCCAGACCAGCACCTTTTCTCCCTGTAGTACCCTGTTTCCCCGAAAATAAGACAGTGTCTTATATTAATTTTTTCTCCAAAGTTGCGCCAGGTCTTATTTTCAGGGGATGTCTTATCTTTCCATGTGCTAGGTCTTATTTTCGGAGGATGTCTTATTTTCGGGGAAACACAGTACTTCATTCTTTATCTAACCTTCTCAAAACCTACATGGCACACCCCAGCTTAGGCTTACTCAGCCTTTCTATGTGACTGTTCATTGCTTTTCACCAGCAAGCGGTCCTCATTCTCTCATGAGCACCCAGCTTCATATACTGTAAGGTGCTCCTCATGAGCTCACTCTTATCACCCACACCTTCTCCCTTATCTATCCCTAGCCAAATCCATTTTATTTACTGTAAGATTCACACCCTTGCTTTCTTCCTTTTTTTCACTAAGGCAGGGGTGGTTTGGGAATGTCCAGCCTGGTGCCATATAAGGCCCACAAAAATCATCTGGTCTGGCCCTGCCCAGGCATTAGGGGTGAGTTAATTAAATGTTTGACCAAATATAGCAGGCTAGTTTTTAAGTTGGTAATTTTGTATGGCCCGAGAATGGCCCACAAATTATGTTACAAATATCCAAAGGCTCTTGGCAGAAGAAAAGGTTCCCCACCCCTGCACTAAGGGTTTCCTCACACATCTTCCACTTTCCACTTCCAGAACGCAAACTTACCATGTCCCAAATGGAACCTGTGATCTTTCTCCCATGCTAGTTCTTCCCCACCTGCACCCACATCTTTGCCATTTCAGTTAATGGTAACTCCACCCTCCCTGTTGTGTTCAAACCAAACCCTGTCCAATCCATCAGCAAGTTCTGCTGGTGTTGCTGTCCTTAAAAACAGACCCTGACCTCTTCTCACCACCATTTCTGTGTCCAGTTAGTCCAGGTCACCATCATCTCTCTCCTGGTTCATTGACATTTTCTTCAAATTGGTTTCTCTGCTCTGCCCTCTCCCCCTATCCAGGTTCTTCTCTCTGGAATACATACATACTCATCACTTAGAGTTTTGCAGTGGCCCATATCCTATCTCCTTAGGTTTTTACTTTATCACCCTTTTAGAATTAATACTCCCAATACTCCCTACCTCTGCTTTTTTTGTTTCTATAGTACAAATCACCAACTTCATTTATTTTGTTGGTTCTCTCTTCCTATCCTAATATGTAAAAAGCCAGGGGCCATCACGACCAAAATGGGTCAGTGGTTGGCAAACGGCAGCTCGCAAACCACAGTTTGCCGACCACTGGGATGGGTGACTGAACAGCAGGCTGTGTGAGGCGACCAGGCTGGTGGGGGTTAGTGAGGGACGAATAAACAACTGAACAGCAGGCTGCATGGGGTGACTGGGCCAGCAGAGGGGGCAGGTGGGGGCGACCAGGCTGGTGGGGGCGGGGCAGTTAGGGGGGATCAGACAGGCAGTGAGCAGTTAGGAGCCAGCGGTCCTGGATTGTGAGAAAGATGTTGGACATCCCCTGAGAGGTCCTGATTGCAGAGGGTGCAGGCTGGGCTGAGAGGACACCCCCCAGTGCATGAATTTCATGCACTGTGCCTTTGGTTAGAATATAAACTCCATGAAGGTAGACTTCATTAATATATTTTTTCACTTTTGTACCTTCAGTATATAGAAAATTACCTGCACAGAGTAGGCATCAATAATTATTTATTGACTAAATAAAAGAACTGTTCCCTGCCGAAACCGGTTTGGCTCAATGGATAGTGCGTCAGTCTGCGGACTGAAAGGTCCCAGGTTTGATTCCGGTCAAAGGCATGTACATTGGTTGTGGGCACACCCCTGGTAGGGGGTGTGCAGGAGGCAGCTGGTCAATGTTTCTCTCTCATTGATGTTTCTAGCTCTATCTCTCTTCCTTCCTCTCTGTAAAAAATCAGTAAAATATATTTTAAAAAAAACAAAAACAAAAAACTGTTCCCAAGCTTGCTCTCTCTCCTTCTGTCCTTTCTTTCCCAAGTCTCTCCTAAGATATCCTCCACAGCCCCAATCCATCCCAGGTCTAGTGCCCATAAGGCATCTTCTCCATGAATATTATCCTACCCACTTCTCAGCAATCCCTCCGATCTCACAGTAGATGGAGAGGAGTCTATATGGAGTAGTAACCTATAGAATCATCTGCTAAAAGAAATGAAGGACAATTTCCAACATTACTACTAAATCCTCTAACTTCTAATTTTCAAAACATGGTTTGTCATAAATAATAAGAAAAAAACACACAAGAACTTGTAAAAACTCTGCCCATTATTATAATATTTTAAATAGCTGTTAAAAAGGCAGATACTGGATTACAATATTTTAAACAGCTGCTAACAGTGCTTGGAAGATGAAATCATTTAGCACAGTTCTGAGGACTCAAGGGGTGTCCAATAAATCTAAATTGAAGATGATTGAGGTGAGGCTCCCAGGTTCCTTGATCTGGCAGGGCCCTCCTGAGATCACATCATCCATCCCTCTGTCTTCAGACAGATTCCATAAAATCAAGCCCCCATAAGTGGGCCACCCTCAGTGCTGCTTTTAATGCCAAACAAGAACCACAGATTCACAGCCTCTCTTGGTTACTTGGTCCCAGTGGGATGCTGAGAGGGAGGGGCAGGAGTTTCTGAGTCTTTATAATCATGATATTGAAGGCTCTGATAAGCAGCTCTTAGAAGGACATGGGGTGGGTAAAAAAGAAAGCAACCAAGAGGGGGAAATACAGCTAACCAAGAGTCTGGCATAGAAGACAGAAGGAGTGGGTGAGAAAAAAGGAAGTGGGTGAGAAAAAAAGTAGGCAGAGAGGAGTGGGGCATGAGAGAAGTGGGGTAGAAGAATTAAGTGATGAGTCAGAGAAACTGAAAGAGCTGAACAGTTT